CACCTTCACGGCCTCCATACCAAGCTTCTCGTTCCGTGCAGTCAAGTAGACGTGCCAGTCGGAAGCTGGCTTCAGACCTTGAACCAGTAGCTGCACAATCCCATTTCCAATACCCTTGTTGGCGCCTGTAACCTGCAACGCAAATGACGGAAATCAAGTTCACTTCCCTACGTTTATTAAAGTATTGCAGAAATGATGCATGCCAAATCCATTGTAAACATCGCCCTAAATGTTTAGTGCTCGTAATTAGCCGTTGAAATTGTCAAACTTACAAACTCTATGCAAATAAATTTCCGATTTTAACCAGTGTTAATGTTCTCCCACCTTTAACTTCACATTAATCAAATTCCAAAATGATACATACATCTAACACCGGAACTTTAAAATAGTCTAATCTAAACACAAGGAAGCAATTCATTTTACTAATATTTAGAAATACAATGTATGCAATGGCTTAGCTTCTATGCTAGGGCTTTATTCTGGACAAGTTTAACACTAGTGCGAGAACAAACGATGAGTGCTTTAATAGTGAAACTTCTCAAAAAAATGGATCAAAGTAGAGTGCTGTGTGAGAAAATAAACGTACAATAGCAACATGCATGGTCGCCCACGCCGCGAAGGCAGTGCTGCGCCTCGTTCCAAGTGATGTGGTCACCACCCACACGACCTTGACTGCTGATTGGAGGGTGTGTCCTGTTGGCTGATTGGCTAATTGTAACTACAAGCTTGTGAGCCCTTCACGAGGTGGTTGGAAGGCCTATCATTTTCAAAAATTGCCCAATAGTGCCCCAAAAGTGTCGTCTGGAGGAATGCAGAATATCTGGGTAGCCAAGATGAGGTGCAGCCAAATGAGTCTACTGAGGAGACTTGGACCTGCAAGCGACCAATGCGACCGTTTAAATGGCTACCAGGTTATAGGCACAACTACGCTCACAGCATTAATTCATTTATGAAGGAAGGAAGACAAGAAAAGAGAAGGCAATGGCAATGCATGTTCGATGACAAACTGGCCGCAGGGCTCGTTTTTACTCTTCCGTATTGCAGCAAGATAGACCGGAGTGTCGGCGCCCAAACGTGTAAGCCATAATCAACATTGTTTTTATAGCCTAACCGCTCATGGACTCTGCTTCACCTTGACTCGGTTGTCTTGAGTAGTTCGTGCAATATTGTGGCACTCTTCCATTAACTTCACCTTTTTACCCGTTTAAAACCCACCATCCCATTATTACTCCCCCTGGTGGTGCAGACGACCTGCTATTCAAAGGTCGTGAATGCATGGAGGTCATTAACCGACTGTTGAGATTGTGGCATTACTTTTTACTGAACCGGGTGCGAAATATTACTAGTTAATGATTGCTTTTGGAAACACATTTGACACTTAACAAATAAGGACTTAACCGATCGACAAGGAGCCGAATCTTTCGCACGTGTTAGTGGGTTTAACACCATAACCGCCGATCTATTTACGGAGGAAGAGATTTTCACAACAGAATGCATAAAAGTAATCGGAGAACCAAACTTGTAATGGTGAGTATTGGCCGCCTTTGTTGCCTCCACGAAAGCCTTCTAGGCATGCCACAATCTTAGTGGCTCCCAGAGAACTGGTGGGATATGGGGCGCTAAAAAATTTTCCTTAACTTCTCCATGGCAAAGCAATTATAAAATCATGAAGTTAAAGCCATCCTTCACATTATTCTCCTTCAGGATAGAGTTGTTACAAGCGACGGAAGGCAGTCATCCCACCATTCATTTGTATCGCTTCGTGTCAACCCCTAGTAGTCGAGTTTTATTCTCCAACCCTAACATTCTATACAAGTTTATTTTGTTACTTTAATGGTGTGGCAATCGGAAACAACTTATTCATTCATTCATGCCGAAGGCAATGGAATAATCACCTTCAAATGGACAGCATATCACTCCTATTACCAGTGCCCCGGTTCTCAGGTTTAACTCCCAAATTTCGCCGCCTTTGACGCCACGCCCGACCAAAGGTGCCGTTTGAACATGGAGGAACTGGCGTTATGCTACCGAATCTTGCAAAACCTCCTAAGACATGCTCAAATGCATTTAAGTTAATTGGCGACAGAGACCGGTAGCGTCATACAGGACGTCGGCGGCTCCGCATCAAACAATACTTGTTAATTTTTCGCAGTTTAAAATTGTAAATGCCGAGATGAAGTTGGATGGGAAGTTTGTTCACTGATTTATTCGAGGATAAAAAGGAATTTCTCTCGCTCTAAACTGAAAGTGGTTGTACTGGGAACACAACCTAGTCACCGTTATGTATACAGATGAAACATTTTCTCATAAAACTATCTAACTCTGCTAACTTGACCAATTAAAATCACCCTGGATGTTTACTTGCATCTACGACCTCTTGGCTGCACGAACAGACGAAGAGGCGGCAGGATTCTTTAGTACGGATGTTGTCAGGTCAACGTTTTTACTGAGCGTGTGCCGCAAGAGAAACTGCCAATGACCAGAGTATCGCCTGGACACTTTACTCGGATCCTTTACTAAGTTTAATAAGAATGTGGAATTGAGGGTACTTTTCTAGCAAGGAAGGGTAGATGAGCAGAAAGAAACGTTATTTGATAGCGTTTACTAAAAGGGGATTTATTGGATACTTGGTTGAAAACATTAGTAATGTGTGTGAAATAGCAACCCATGGAGCTGGAACAGACAAATTCGAATCCCATTTACCAAATTTGAAATGAAATGAACACAGTAAGAGAAGAAAAATGGGCTCCGTATAAATATTGTGCCACTAAATAGCTTAGCAATAAGGCGGCACCTAAATAGGTTGCATTGAGTTAGGCCACATAGCAGAAAAAAGTAACTTTAAAACACCAACTACTGCAGATAAATATCTTGATGCTAAAATAAACTTTTCTTCCTTACACATGTTGTACAAGAGCATCAAATCAAAAAACCAGAGATCGATAGGTAGCCCTGTTTTTGTAAACGTGTCGTGCAAATCAGCCCATATTTTGAGCAACTTCGAGGGCAATTAACCCAATTTATTGTAGTAAGTAGTTTAATATAATACGTATATCTGTGTGCAAGTGCACGAGTACTTAACTCCCTGATAGTCGTACTTCAACTCTACAGCAAGGCATCTCAACAATGCTAGGGGTGTTTGAGAGGGAACTATGCGTTTCAAAAATAAGGCAATTGGCTAAAAATTGAAAAAATCATAAAATCATTTATTTGCAGTTTTTGTCTAGATGATTGAACTATCAGATGTAAGTTCTTAAAATTTATTATCATGTATTAAATTTCAGAATTATAAATCAACTAAATATATCAACTCTGCAGAAGCCTATATTTATTTATTTAAGTAAATTGTAAAAACGCATTGACCTTTATTCAAACTTTAGATGCACATTGTTCTAACATCTAAGCACCTTAAATAAAATCTTGCCGGGTGTTTCGACCTCGTCAAGAGTGGTGTTCCCTACATGTTTAATGTTCTAATCTGCACATAAATTAGGTAGGTGATATCGGTTGTGGTATTTTCCGTTGTTCTCACCCAGATTAAAGGCTCTATGCAGCTAGCTGTTCGCATGTGGTATTTGAGCGTGTAATACTATACTGCTCTGTTCATCGATCAATCAATTAACTTTTTCTTTGCCAGTGGAAGTATTTTCGTAAATGCGATTTTCCAACCTATGTGCGGTGATATCTTTTTGCACTTTAGACAAGATGCACTTTTCTGCGGCTCTTAAGATAGCTGATGTTGACGACTACATTTCGCCATCACTCGTAAGTAGCGCACATTTCACAGTTGCTACAACATTTCCCGAAAGTTAGCCGTACAATATTTCATTCGTTGGCTGACTTGCCTGTCGCAAAGCATTGCTACCTCCTTGTTTGATATTCCTCGTTGGAGTTTTTTTATCTGTGGTTCCATAACTTTACTAGTTTACCTTCTTACGATTTGTCAGATCTAGTTTCTTGATGTGACATCGAATTTTAAAGTTATCAGATCTGGCCAACCGCGTAAATGTACTTCCTTATATGCCATTTAAAGTGCTGTGGTCGGTGGTTGTATTTATTGGAGTTCTCTTCGATAGCTGCGATGATCTGTCAGCAATCATTACCGTCTAATTGTACTGAATATGACTAGTCCTACCGTTTTCTTTAATTCTAGGAGTGTATAAAGCCAGTAAAGATACCCCGATCAGTTGACGAAACCAAATCGATCACTATCGGCGAGGATGGCACGTATGTGGCCACAAACGAATCTGGAGAGAAATACACCCTTGCAAAGGCCAAAATTGATCTCAATGACTGCCTCTCCTGCAGCGGATGCATAACCACTGCTGAAACCGTCCTCGTCTCTCAGCATAGTGTGGACACTTTTCTCAACTTGCTTAAGGTATTGGAGGACTTTGGTTGTTTATCTTGTAGGTCACATGAAAAGGTTTTGTTAACTCTTTATATCTACTCTAGTTAACGTTATTCGCATACGACTTCCTGCCTAATTCACTGTCTTGTTCTTTTATTCATTCACCAAAGTATGCGGTGTCGGAAAAATAAACCTTAAATGCCAGCTTGATTTTTTTTTTACTAGACTATTCAGATATTGCTTGACCAGTGTTTATATTGCTTATTCGCTCAACCTTGATCTGGTTAAACCTGTCACTTGCTCCTATCAGTTTTCTTTATTCAAATGGGGCGCTAGACTAAATGATCTCCCCACTTGAGGGGAGGCCTTTCCCAATCAGGCTATTACATTACGTGGTTTCAGTAGTATCCTTTGGATGAAAGGCCGCTTTATGGAGCTGTTTTCATTATTCCTATGCAGCTTTATAAGTGATTTTCCATTTAATTTTTGTCTTCCTTTGGGACATACTTGTTTTATGTGTATTTAATAAAAAACGCATCCAGTCTGTTAAAATAATCATAGTCTAGGAATTTGTAGCAAATTATATCCACAAGACACTCAAAATCACTATTTTGGATTGTTGGGAGAAATCATTATAGCATATATTCAACCATCGATTACGAATATGTGATGCATTGTGTAGGAACGAGAGAAGTACGAGGTCGTGGTTGCACTGTCACCACAGTCGCTGGCGAGTCTAACAGCTTCTCTCCAACGGGGCAGCGAGTCGTCATTTCCGCAGCGAGTGAGAGAGGCTTTTGCCAAGGTGAGCGAAGAGAGCGGGACGACAATGAGCAATGTGAGAACGTTCTGTGCACGCCTTTTGCACTCCCACGGTGCCGTCTCACGACCCTTCCTTGACACCACGTGGAGCCGAGATGTCACACTCGCTGTCACTGCTAAGGAATTTGTCAGCGCGTTTGCCGACCACTCGGATGCACCAAAACTCCCCATACTTACCGGGATCTGCCCCGGTAAGAATAGTGCATAATGGATACGTTATTGTTTCTTTTACTTTCAGCCTGATGCCGAAAGGCTTGTTGCGTAACAAATAATTTTGCGGTTATCTACGAGAAATAACTATTCCTTCCCAATAGGAATTGTTTTCAGCTGTCTCCAAGCGGATGACTTTGGACCGTATATACTCTTGAACGCCCATGACTGATACAACTAAATGATTTGCCCCACCGGAGAAACTGGATCTATGTTTTTTAAGTTGTCTTACCTGAAAGGCCTTGTACTTTCGTGTTGTGACTTGTTAAGAAAGTTCTCCATCAAACAGTCCATCTATCATCAATAAATTCTTGATGGAGAATCCCAATACGTATTTTGCACGGGTCTTATTCAATTCTCTTGCCATTTTAACAGTCATTGAGCCTAAAAGTGACCTTAAATTGACTTTAACGACCGGATGCAGTCTGACTCTTCCAAATCGCCTAATACTTTTTTGAATAATGAAGGTTGGGTGTGTTACGCAGAGAAGACTCACTTCAAGGTGCCATCAAAGTCCACAAGTGGTGACGTTGGTGGGGACAGCAACAGGGAAGAACCCTTTCTCCTACAACACATCTCACGGGTGCGTTCACCACAACAACTGCTAGCCGGTGTGTTGAAACGAGCAGCGGGTGGGACAAGCGACAGCGAACGTCGTCTCTTCCTTGTCTTCGTTATGCCCTGCTATGACAAGAAACTGGAGGCTTCGCGCAGCCAGTTCCTCTTGTACAGTGGCGATGGCGTGACGACGAAGGAAGCTGATTTAGTTCTCGGCACTAACGAATTCGTTACTGTGCTAGACGCCATCCTACAGAAACCAACCACATTACCCGTCGACACAAGGTCTGAGGATAACCCTCTGGATCAGAGGTTAGTGGTGAAATTTGAGTCACTTCTCTCTCTCTCTCATAGTCGTCCATTCCATCACGGTTCCTCTTCTTAGAGTTATGGCGGCGAATTTAGCCACCATTGTGTGGTTTTGGGGTCTACGTAGCTTGTGAAATAAGTGCAGAAATGATGTTTACTCTACCTGCAATAGAAAAATGAGCTACCTCACGCATAAATCAGTTGCCTTAATTCCCTACGCGATGAAGAAAGCGTCATTCCGACGAGACCTAGGCCTGACGCGAGTTTTGCCCTTATAAAACGCCTTGTCACTATATGGAAATAACCTAGCTCTAGCCACTTCGCTTTCTGTCTCACCTACGCTTTCCACCTGTGTTTCTACTCCGTACGAATTCCTCTGATACCTACTTCTTACTTTCCCATTAGACTCTCCCAACTGTTGGGGCGAGAGTGGAAGGAGGAGGCGGAAGAGAAAGACGGAGGCTCTTGCACCTATCGTCATGCGGGTTCAGGGTCGGGCGGCTACGCATTCGCCGTCCTCCGTCACGCCGCCGAGCAACTATTCCACATCCATTTGCCTCCTGTTGTCACTGAAGACCCACGGGTGCTCACTCGTCACCTTGGCAATCACGATTTGCAGGTGTGAGATGCCGAATCATTTCCAAGTTCACATTTATAGAAGGGGAATTTTCATTGGGAGTCGAGTGCATTATAGGCTGAAAGGCTTGGAGACTGAGAGAGTGGGTGATACGCGGGTGATCACAAGTGCTTGAGAGAAAGATAAATGAGTTGGAGTATCAGGATTCTCTTATGCTACTTTTGCGGTTGACAACTTGACAGCTGTAAAATTTCTTCTATTCCTGTAGGAAATTCTGCTCTTCAACAGCGTGGAGGAATGTGAGGCGGCTGATAGGAGCGCACCGGCAGGGCGCACGCCCTACCGCCACGCTGGAGCGATGCCTACACCCCTCCTGGCCTTTCTGGTGGCCAACGGCTTCCGCAACATCCAGACCGTGGTGCAGCAACTTAAACGCGCTCACATCAAGGCGCACTCGCGTTGCTCCACGGTCCGAGCTGAGGCGCCATTCGACTTTGTCGAGATTATGGCCTGTCCCAGTGGTAAGTGATGGCCAGTTAAGGCGACGTCAGATGATTGCTTTGCAATTGCCGGCTTTTAGGTCGTATTCACTCTTCTGTTAAGTCGCAGTCACAGACTGTTCAAACGGTGGGTGGAATTTTGGACTCAGAAGTGCGCTTTGCACTGTCTGTAAGGAGTATGATGGAGTAAAAGTCTTTCAAATTGACTACGTTCCAGCCATGGATAGTCGCTGCTAAGGTAATTAAAACGGACTTTAAAGTAGATGCTGTCACCACTTTTCGGTGAGAAGTGTGATGCGGTAGGAAATTCTCAAATAAATAGCATTGGGATGCTATTAGACTACACTGAGGCCACAGTCCACCCCAACAGCGAATGGTGCTCTGACAAGAGCTGCTAGGTCCTTTGAAACAGTACCAGAATTGCGCGCCTTCATTGCATCTTTGCGAGGGAACCTTCTAAATGAAATATACCCAACAGATAAGGAGTAATGGGCTATCCAAGGAGCGGTATCGTCGCCTTTCCATGTAGACGAATCCTAAAGTAGAACGCACTAGGGTGAGAGCACCTACCTCTTTGATGCTATTCGGCACTACGTCAAAATCGTGGTCTGTCTTAGCTCTGAGTGGTGCGCGGATAGGGGCTGCAATCAGAAGTACGCACCTGGGTGATGTCCTCGTAAGTTTGCAAGTGCCACACCCATTTTCGGAAAAGCCTACTAACTTACATGACAAATCGAGGAGGGGTACCCTCATCAAGTCAACGCCGACCAACCTAAGGGCTTAATTTCAGGTTGCCTCAACGGAGGCGCGCAGTTGAAGACGGACCTACCTGACGTTTCTCAAGTCTACTTCTCCCTAGAACAACAAGATATCCTCCAAAGCGAGATTTCAAAGCAACTGCACGCGAGCCTCGACCCCATCAGCAAGCAACGCGTCTGTTACACCACCTACAAAGCCGTCCCCAAGGTGGAAATCACCAATCCCTCGGTGCTGAAATGGTGACAATGGAGAAGCTTTCCGCTACAATTACTTTGTATTTTATGCAAGAAAAGGGCAATTTTTGCAAGTTAAATAAAACATTATTAGTAAAGGTTGAAAATGTCAAGTGACGCAGGGCGCAACCTTAGGCCAGGACGGGAGATAGGCAGGGATAAGCGGTGATCTACATGCGTATCCACCATGTCTGATCACGAATGCGGTTGTAATCCGGCAGCGACTCAACTGGCCCTAAAAAAATAGGGGAAAGAAGCGGATAAATTGCATTTCGCATCACTGTAAAATTTGTAAAAAGTCATCTAACCGATAGAGGCGACAGCCGGGCACCGATCGTATAAGTACTTTGAGCAAACTTCACGGAGTTTTTCAGCATCGATGGCCTGTAAAAATAAAATCACAACGCGTCACTGACGAGAGAAGTGGAAGAATGATAACAAGTTGAAGCAACTTGCATCAATTCTCGCGAACATTTCGTTGATGGGGACGCGGCGTCCGTAGACGAGCATCTGCCGGCCGATGTCTTCACAGATGGGAGTGGTGCCATCCAACTGGAGCATGAGATGGGTTTTGAGCTGGTTTTTGGCACGCGAAACCTCATGTTCCGTGATTTGTGAGCACATACGAACCATCTCCTTGGTGAGTGCGGTAACCGCTTCATCTAGGCCTATCTTTTCGCCTGTAAAGTATACGCCCCTGGCAGAGGAAAACGACAAGTAAAATAGGGTTAATAAGAACAGGGACTAAGACCTTATGTGGAGTGACTCACCAGAGAGAGGTATCATGATAGCAAGTAAAGAAGTGTTGGTAGCTGTGAACGTTGCCTTTTTCGAAAAACTTGCTGGCCAAGGGACTAGCGACGTTAGAGCCACCCCCGTGTGTTCGATCCCAGGCGCCGTTAACGCTGCTCCCCACCATGAGAGCAAGAGTATCTGGATCAGCCCAACCAGGACCCTCAAAAGCAAAGGCGATGTGAGCCAACGGCATTGCGTCGTCGCGATCACGGATCTCGGATCCAGTGAATCTACAGCGCTCAAGCTTGGAAGTTTCGCTCTCAAAGGTGGCCGATATATCACCAAAGTACTTTTCACCAAGTTCCTTCAGTTCTTCATGCTCGACACCTTAAATAGGATGTGAGAAAGGAAAGAGTTTCAGACCTCCAGCCGCGGTGAGCACCATTCGCGGAGCCTTGTAATTGGTTTTTATGAAGTTACGCAGGTCGCGAGGCTGCAAAGACTTAACATTCTCAACCGGTCCCAAAATTGTGCGACCGAGGGGAGTGCCTTGGTAAGCCGTGGCGTGCAGGTAATCGAACACAACCTCCTGGTAGTTGCTTTCAACCTCCTCCATCTCTCTCAAAATGACTCCACGTTCACGATCAACCTGATGTTGGTCAAGTTTACTATGTTTGATGATGTCAGAAATGAGTTCGCAGGCTTAAGAGAAAATTAGTGATTTAGAAGCAAGTACCCCAACGCAGGTCATGAGAAAAGCATTTTGCGTAGTATACAGTCATCTCTCTTGAGGTGTAAGCGTTCAGGTGGGCGCCCTTATTTTCAACTTCCTCCTCCAGAGACCGTTGAGTTCGTTTATCAGTGCCCTTAAACGCCATGTGCTCCAGGAAATGGGCAACACCATTGTTGGTTTCGGTTTCAAAGCGGCTTCCAACATCAATCCACAGACCAACCTACAACATGTAGGTGAATTAACGCTTACAGTGCATGTGGGCAGATTCCAATTCTCGGAAGCGATGCGGAATCCGCTCTTCAACGTACTGACCTCGGTTTTTGGTATATGTGCTGATTCAATAGCCGGAACATAATTCGTAGCGGTCCCAATGCTATACGGTCGAGAGAACTACATAAAAGAATTAACCAAAGGATTAACGGAGAACCTTGACCAAATGAGGCAAGAGCGACGATACCCGGCGAGATGCCATCGAAAGCCAACCGAGATGAACCGCCACTTTGTGTTTATAATGAAAACAATTTAAGAAGTTATTTTAGCTGTCTTATGTTGGATGGCGTTAATATCCCTATAAAGCGTTAAATGTTTAAATGACAATCAAAAATTTCAGTATGTGATTGCTTTTTATGGCTTGGGGCCTTTTAATAAATAAAATTGACCTATATCCTAGCCGATGTGTAGATAAGGAAAATTTGGTGTGAAAATGAGCAACTTCTGTCCAAAAATCATCTTTAAAGTGTGTTCTGCAATATGGGTTGGTTATGCATAAGTTTTAGAGAAGATTTGCAGTGAAGCATTCTCATTGGTTACCTTTTTTTTAATGGCATGATATTTTGTTTACCTGCGTGTTTTACCACTTTGGTCCTACACTGACAGTGTCTGCTGGCTGCTTGTCCGCTCTGTGCCAAAGATTTCAGTGCATGCTAGTAATTTAACACTTCATTGTGCAAAGGTAGCATACGTTGCGTTACTCCAAAATAATTTGGTGTGCCAAGACCTTAAAAAGCCAAAAGACCTTATTTATAGCAAAAGAAAGCAAAATTGGTCCGAAAGTTTATAAAATTTCATCTCCACAGGTGAGTATTGGATCTGAACAGCAGCAAAGAAGGGCACCTGCAGCGTATGAGCGAAGCTGCAAATATTCCTTACAAATGGCAAAAAGATTAGGTGAACTCTTAGCAACTGTTTTTAAGAAAGCTGCTAGCAAATTAGATTGCGCCAGGTCTAAACCCCTTAAGATTATTCATTATGGAGTCGTTTATGGCGATGGTAAGTGCGGAGACAGCGATACCACATTCAGGTTTTTAGCGGGTATAAGAAACCTAAGTGCGTCTTCTTGCTTCCTTTTTGTATCACATAGGGTAAGACTCGTGTTATGCGGTCATGTAATACGATAGTGGTTTATCCCTCGGTTTTGGTGAGGCGCAACTTCTGTACTTCGAATTAGCCTCCTTGTACCTCGCTGGGTGGGCTGGCCTTTTGGGCCATGCCAATAGCCCAGACACCTTCTCCGTGCTGAATATATATATTCTGCCCGAGTATTGTGTCTTCTTCCGTCTTCAGGCAGTCTCGGGACGCTACATTCGTACCCATCCACAATTCACCAGGAAACCTGACAAAATTTAAAGATAGCGTGCTTTTACTGATTTAAGAATATAGGCTTAATTTTTAAGTCCTTTTCTACGATGGTATATCAGCTAAAGTTATGCGCGTATGTTATTTTGTTGCAGTTGTAAATCTCATTGACCTCTCTAAAACAAGCAAAAATTTTAGCGTATAATTATTGTCATAATAATTTTAAAAAGGCATCTGTACTAGCATTGTGGTCGTTATACTACATTAACACTTTATCCTTCGAAATTGTAAGTTTGTTTGTCTGCGCCATCCGCCACGTGACGGGTGTGGCGCTCCTGGTACTCCCGGTCCTTTTACGAGTTACTTGCTTCTCTGTTCATGCCCTTACCAGTCGGAACTTGTTCCAATATGTCTGCTTCTGGTAAACTTTATACCCCTCCGGACTATCACAAGGCTCTCAGAGCTCAATTGGCCGCTGCGTACAGTGGTGTTCCCCTAGAGCTCGTTGAGTATTGTCCCGGAATATCATCTCTGCCCGACGAAGCGAAATCCTGCCCTGCTGAGGCTGCTCCCGTATTCCACGCCAGGGATGGTGTAACTTTGTTCGATGCTAACGCGATTGCGTATTTTCTGGGCAATAAGCAACTTCGGGGTACTTTTGCAATATTGATTATTTATTTGTGTAGGTGGCGAACATGAGTACTATGTTACCCAATGGGCCAACTTTACTGACCACATTTTGATGCCTTCAATTGCTGCTTGGCTATATCCCATCATTGGGGCAACCAACTACAATATGAACCAGGTTAACAAGGGTCAGGAAAATGTCAAAAAGGCGCTCACATTCTTGAACGACTTTCTTGCCTCAAAGTGCGCTATTCTTTTTTTAAACACGTGCGTTATGTAGAACCTACTTTGTTGGCGAACACATCACACAGGCTGACTTGACCGTCTTTTCGGCTCTGAGGCTGCTCTTCGAGAAACTTCTTGATGAGGCTGGTCGTGAGCCCTATCCTCATCTTGTCCGTTGGTATACCACTATTGCCAATCAACCGGAGGTTATGGCGGTTGTCGGAGAGATGAAACTTTGCGATAAACCGGTCGTATTTGACCCTAAGAATGCTCCTAAACATGAGAAGCAGAAGAAAGTTAAGAATCAGGAGAAACAACAAGAGAAGAAACAACGGCCAAAGAAGGAGGCACCGAAAGTGTCCGAAAGTGATTTAGAGGAAGAGGAGGAGAAACCTGCTCCCGAGTCCCGTAGTAACCCGCTTGTACAGCTTCCTGCTGGGACCTTTAATTATAACGATTTTAAGAAGGTCTTCAGTAATGAAGACTGCATGACGGCGACGATTCCTTTCTTCTGGAAAACATTTGATCCCACTACCGATTCTATTTGGTACTGCGAATACAACTATCCCGAAGAGCTTAAACTCACCTTTATGTCCGCTAACCTTCTCAGGGGAATGTTTCAACGACTGGAGAAGTAGGTTTTTTTTGTTCGCCTTTTTTTCGAAATCAGCTTGTTATCTAATGCGTTGTTTTTGTTCACAGAATGCAAAGATTTAGCTTCGCCATAATGCACGTCTATGGTGAGAATAACAATAGTACAATCGGTGGAATCTGGGTTTGGCGTGGAACTGGTTTGATTTTCGATCTCAGTCCTGATCTACAAACTGACTACGAGTCGTACACTTGGACCAAGCTTGATCCCGACTGCCCCGATACCAAAGCGAAGATTGCCGACTTCTTTGCGCTTGGGGATGTGTGTGATGGGAAGACCGTTGCCGAAACCTGTGTTTTCAAGTGAACTTTATCATGATATGTAGTAAAGCCTTTTCAGGAATGGTTTTAATGGTTTTTTTTTTCACAATGCGTGTTAATTTGTAATGCGATCCCAGCTCACACCCGGTTAGTTATATGCATGTATGATGTCGTGACCTTGCATGTGCTGCGCAAATTGCCGCTGGTACGTGGTGCAGGTCATAAAACCGAGTTAGTGCAGGCCTTCATTTCTGTTTATGCCCTGTATTGCGGACTTTAGTGGCACCAGTCCTGGATTTTGGGTGTATGCCCAACTGGAGAGTGAACGTGTCTACGGGTGGTTGACCGAGTCGACGTGTCGTCACCTTTTCTTGGAGGCCATCAAGTGTCCTTCATTACCAGGAAGATATTTACCAGGAGGGGTGCGTGTGATGCTGGTTTGGAGGTATGGAGCGAGGAAGCTTAGCCTCCTGGGTGATGCATCAACACAAATGGCTTCCAAAATGACTATGGGTTCTTTTCCTCCCTACAGTCGTTCTTTGCATTAGATGTGGTGTTGCTCTCGCCTTCATATTCGTGTGCGCACTGGAAACCCTTTCAATGGAGTTTATAACGTGACCCAATTTGCCAGAGCCAGAGGATGAAATGGCGAGGATGATTTTGACTATCTACTCTTGAGGTGTGCAGACCGCTGGGGGCATGTCGGAATGTGCAATCCGGGGTTTGACAAACATCCGGTAGATCTGGATCCGAGTTGCCGAATCGGTACCGCGATCTTATCAGAAACAAATAACCAACTGAGTGTAGTGGGGTGGGAAAGTAGGCATCTATGTGGCGTAGTGGTTAAAAAAAGTTTTACCCATCGTACGTTCGCGCATTGTGTGGTTCCTGAATTTTCTTTTTAAATTAAAGGAATAATTATCTACTTAAATAGCTACAGTAGCATTAGGGTCAAGAATAGGTGGTAACGCAAGTCCTAATAAATAAATATCAAGCACTAGTCGAAATCTCCTGTGCTGCTTTAGTTATTTCTTTAACTCGCGATTTTGGTGAAGGACTCGCTTAGGTGCTTCGTCATTGTGCTTCCGCTGGTTGGGCTGACCTCCGGGTCATGCCAGCAGCCCTTCTTCTCGAGTGTTATATTTTCTCTCGCTTTTGGGGAAGTCCCAGGGCGCTACTCCTCCGTCGATGAGTATCAAAAGGTTGCTTTGAATCTGCGAAAGAATGCATTTGTAAGTTCAAACTGGAAACCACCATATATTCTGCCACTCAAGGGTTACTTAATATGTGCCAAGAAGCATTAAATCGTGAGTGTTCCACCGATTAGGATGTTTATTTCACCAAAGGTACTTTATCCACACCAGGGAGATATATGTACTGGTTATGGAATGATGCTTGGCTTACGTCTCTGTTAGCTGCACAACGCCGATTCGTTTTGAAGGCGAAGGAGACATAGAGGCGACTTGAAACCCCTCCCTACCCTGCCTCCATTCAGATATAAACGTCTCTCCAAATGAGTAGGCAGTGATCTGCCTGAGAAGTTAATGTAGATAAATGGTCTAATTAGAGTGAAGAGCACAAAAAAAAGTTACTTTGACTCTTCAACCGCCGATCCCGTAGGCCATATGTCACATTAATGTCACCGAAAGTGCATCGGAACTTTTTGGGTGTGGCGCCATGCTCTGAGGAGGCGCTAAAAGATGGCGATTAAGGAGTGGTAGCGGTGCGTAGTAGTGAGACCATGAAACGATGAAACTGCCTAGCGTCAAACTAAATCAAACCTCGAGCCTAGTGGACGTACCGTCAGGGTGGTATACCAATGCCACTTGTCACAATGCCTATCAACTCCTGTTTGTGAGAGACCATTCAATTTCCTTTGGTCGAATTCAAGAAGCTGTCTGGATAAGATTGTTTCCATAGCTGTTCTAAAAGGCCTCTAAAGTGCCGTGAATGATGCCAGGTCCAACAGAGTTGGGTCTTACACGAGCCACTTGGGAGGAGTAGAGACGCGAAATAGCAATAGGTTTGATTGACAGTAAGAGAGGCGTATCCACACCCCACCCCACCTCCAACTTCACATAATGGTCTGAGCTAAATATTTCCACTAAGGGAAAAAACTGGGAGTCAATCGTTCACCTCTCCTACCTTTACGTGCAACCACTGACCATACTGGAATCGAATTTGTGTCCACAAATAAATGTCGCATAACTGCCGAGTTGTTTTGAGTGCTCTTCCAGCTGGCTTGCTCCTCTGGAAGAGGCACCAAAACAGCAAAGAATTCAAACCACATTGACTTTTGCTTGTGAACTACTCAAGGAATGGAAATGAAACAATCCCTACACTAGATATGGCCTAGATTTGATTTGATTGGGGTATCTTTGGCTCAAAATACAAGAAGGTTTAAACTTCAAAGCACAGAAGGTCAATCTGCTCAGAACTGGCGAATGCCTAGAGTTTCCCGTGAAACTACGTGGCTTGAAGTGAGTGAGCGATCGAGGGTTTGTGATAATTGCAAATTAGCAATGGCTACCGCCATACAGGCGACTTGATGATGGCCCTGAGACTAATGAAATTTTCAAAATGAAGTACTCAAACCTCCATTGCACAGCGCTCATCAAGTTAATTTGAAATTGGCGCAATTAAAATGCGATTTGACTCACTTGTCATTGCCTATAATTAGCTTTCCTCAATGTCATTTGGTGGCTCCCCAAAAAAGTGGATTTTTTGCAAGAGCGATGGTTCACCTGAAGGTCTCTCAAATCCAGCATTTAAGTCTCCATTTCGCATAGGGACTCATTTAGAACGCGGATGTTTATTTACTAGGAATATTAATGTATTTGGAGTGTTCAAAGGTTGCCTACTTAACTAGATATAACCTCAGTTTTTGGCTCTTGAAGTGGACCCCATCGCCACTCTGAACGACATTGGAAGGGAGATTGGGCTTTACTCCAGAACCACATCTGTAAAACCCTAATAGTCTGTTTTGGTAACGAGCCACTTTAGAGTTCCTTCAATGTGTCTCTGCCGGACAGATTGGCCTCCAGACTAAGCCGGTGGCCTCAAACTCTTCTGTGCGTCGACTTTCTTCTTAAGGGAGGTCTCGGGGCTCTACACCACACTACGATCCTACTTCAGTAAACAATAAGTTCAAATAAGTCTTGATAGTAACTACAACAGCATACTGTCTGAGTCTCCGACAAATTCTCCCCGCTTTGTCTGTTTCGTATGAAAGCCTCGAGCTTAAACCCACCATCAAAAAAGTGAGCCAGCCTGGTTAGACCCTCAACATTGCTGTGGCTCTGACTGCACAAGTGCTGGCAACCAAGACGACGACGACGGCGATGAGAATGTGTTGTCTGAGACCTTATAATACCTCACTTGCCATCGATTCCATCAACACTACAAGGCAATGCTTACCGCGGTTGGAATATGACAGTCGTGCGCACTGCCACCAGGCGACCAATGGGGTGACAAAAAGGCGATTATTTATTTTTTGCTAAAAGGCTGGAAAAAAAGTCATGCATTCATGGGCGTTATAGCCTCAAAGACGTAATTGCGCTTCTGTCAATTTCATAATCAAGCTTTGAAGAAAATACAGTAATGACAGGAAGGAGTAGGGTGGAAAAAATATTATCAATGTGGAATGTAAAGTTACTCTACTTATGGCAAGGTTTTCTTACAAGGTCACGAATGATATGAAAAGTGGCCTTTGGAGAAGAACATCACCTCACCTTGGGCGGTAGAAAGCCAAGTGAATGTCCAACACGCACTGTTAAATTATCATTAAATCCTTTCTCACTTTGGACCGTGGTTGATGATTATAAGTGTAGAGAGGAGATTGGGACGAGAGAAGACGATGACATATTAAAAAGAGAGGAGGTGGATGAGTGAATGAGATTTGTTTTGCAGTGGGCACTTAAATAGGTGGGACCTGAAGAGTCTGAAACTTTGGCTTTTTTAGCTCCACAGTGTTTCTTTTCTTCTGAGGGAACTCTGATGCTGCATTTTTCCAGAGAAAAGCGACTTAGCGGAGCTGTCGTGAAGTGGAGGCATCCGCTAAGCATGACGGATCTTGTGCCCTCCAACTACCACCCCAAATTTAGGCGCCTTACCAGAAATCTGGAATAAAGAGCCACGATTTGTCTTTGAAGCAATCCTGCTATCCCACCCAATTATTTTAACTTTTTAAATTTTTAAGAGGATAACTCTTTCCTCTTTGAACCGCGTGGGTAAGGGGCAAAAACCAAGTCGTGGCATACAATCGGTGAGTTAACAAAAAGTAAAAAATAACGCATTAGATATCTCAGACTTCAAGGAAAGTGTACAACTTTCCATATTGGCTGGTTAAATGTTCGGATAGGATACACCAAATGTTATTGGTTTCATTTTTTTTCACCAGGCTAATTCATGTCACACATATGTGACGTATGGGCTCAAGAAAAAATTGGATGCCGAACGCTGATTCCAAGAAATTATACCTATAATTTTAATGCATAAGTAAAAACTAGAATAACTTAGGCGACTTAGTGGTAAAAAAGTTTTGCAGATTAAATAAAATATTACGCCGTGATCAACCGAAACCAGCGACCCAGTTATGCTTCGATTGACACGTAAAATAAACAGTAGGAAGCGCCAATTTCACCTTCGACCCGATTAGCGCAGGGCACGAGGGTTAACATCAAAGACCACTGGCAGATACGCTTTCACTATCCTCCTGTTTTGACAACGCTAGGACTTAACACCAGTCCTGACGGCCATACCCTGCCTGCAAAGTTGTTTGTAACGAAGGTACAACTGACTGAGGCCACATTTATGAAGTCACGACAACTCATAGCTACACATCGTTGCCAAATTGCGCTTTTGTGTGTAAGAGCTCTTATGAGAGGATAAGCTGAAACATCTTCCATCTCAAGTTGGAAAATTCCTACGAGCAGGCCTTATTATTACGGCTTATCAAAGTCAAAGTGAAGGCGGCTCACGTTTTCAAACTCGTTTATTTGAAAATCTAGAGGCCGAGCTTCTACTCTCTGAGGCACTTGACTTCCCTTTTAGGCACTAGTTAAAAGACTGGCTTTTTGCATGGAGGTAATGAAGTAAATGAAATGAAGTTGTACATGGTGAAGAATTGATACCACTTGATTTTAACAAGTTTTATAAAACACGGTAAACAATAAGTTTTTCTAAAAGAACATATGAAGGGTAGATTTAGAATTAAAAAATCTACTTGTTCAAATGGCCCTCCGGTCATATCGGTGGCCTCCTGGGCTGTCTGTGCTTTACAAATGATTCTCCTTCCATGCTTACTTCAGGCGAAATTCTGGACGTTGCAGCGGTGGCAGCCACAAGAGAACCTAATCCAAAATTAAAGATGGCTAAGTTACCAACGTCTCAAAGCGGAAGGGTTATTGAAGTCGTGTCCACTTTGGGCAGCTACTAGGATCTCGCGTTCCGCAAGAAGGAAGACTAACAATTGAGGGAACCTGTAAAGGACAGAGATATCAGATATGTCTGCAAACTTTTGCTCTGATTGGCCAACTCTGATGAATCGGCAGCTACTTTGGATGGGTTTCGAGGTTATACAAGAGCTGTACCCATTTTTCAGCCTTCTCATTAAGATAGTGGAGGGCGGTGAGCACCAATGCGTGCAGACTTGAAGGGGTGGTGCTCGCTCCCGACCATTTACTAGTCCACCTGGAAGAGTGGAGAGGAAAATAGCCTCGAGCAGAGGCCCGAAGTACATCAGGTAGTTACGCTGTATTAGGTTTTAAACGGAGGTTCAAAGTCAGAGGCATTACTAGCACACACTAAATCCATCATCACGAAATGCTGGCCGATCATAGGCGAGACCCAGCACGAGCTCCTTCTAAATGACCCATCTTTTGTCTGAATAAAAGACCTCAAGTGCCCAAAAGTCGAACTGTCAAGAACCTTGAGGTCGAAAACAGCCTCAGCATATGCAAGTAGGGGATATAGATGGAACCGTTCATCATCCGTAGAAGTTGGATCTGCTACCTACTTTGCAGGTGAAGTGGGGAGGGTTTGGGGTTCCATCTATTCAGTTTTTAGCGACAGCCGCACCAGCCTTGGATGACACTGCCAATAGCATAGTGGAATCTAGCTGCGATTTGGAAGATAAAGTCAAGTTTAAATCATGGTCTCGAAGTTACAAAGGCCTCGCGTCAGGATCGACAAGTGGCAAGTCCATCTTCTGGTTTGTAAGTTGAGCCCATTTATTCGGTGAAACTGCACTTTTGAAGAGATGGTAGAATGTCTGACAAGACAGATCTTTCATAACTCATCACTTTTAAGTACACAATGCAGATGCATGGAATCGGTCTTGAATGGCATTGGCGATTACTTAGCGCATGCTGGAATCGTAAGGTACGGATCGTAAAAGGTTAAAGTCTTTGAATAGTGACCACTACAAGCCATCCATCTCGATGTAGGGTTGGAATAACTATGGCAGGCTTTAAAAATGGCTGATGTAACTAAATCACTGGAACCGTTACAGTACTACTAACCTGAGATCATCGTTCAAGAGACCACTGATGGATCACCGGTAAGATTTTGAGGAAAAATACGATGGCCTTATTTGACGCACGTTGGGTACCAGGACCAGCTGACCCCGTGGCAAAATTAGGTACTACGCCATCGGATATATTGCTGGACACATTTTTCACACTCCCCCTGTGGACCCTGCTCCACAGACAGCTGAAGTGATTCAGTCCGCCAGTTTTCTGTCCTGCCTGCCATAATGATGATTTGGTGGATAAAGAAACAGGAAAACAATCCCAAGCTGAGCTTTGAAGATGGAGGTGTTGGGACTGTTCACAATCCCGTACTCAAGGTTAAGATCAGCACTTTTAAGGGTCCCAATAGCCACTGCACTAGTCGTGAGTCAGTCCAAATACCGTGCCTTATGAAAGAAGCCGTCAAACTTGAGAGAATCCACTCGCGTCTACATAAGATTGCCAGTGAAGTACGGTGGTGGAGGCGTTGAACTGTCAAATCGTCAGTCGATCGTAATCCAACCCACAGCAGTTATTCCTGTGAAAATCTGGTCACCTCTGGGAAAGCCTAATCTCAGACACTTACACTGACAACTCTTTCTGTGGCAGTGGTTAAGCACCAGTTTGCATTCATTGAAAGTTGTACTGATTCCAAAGTGCCACTTCAAATTGTAAAATTGGCAATTTTAAAAGACCAAACAACGAAGTCTATAACAGTGTCAAATTAAACTCAGAAACCAATCGCATGCAAATATAATTATTAGAAAACTCTTTTGCTGATTCGGGACGAGCATCAGAGAAGACAGATTGGAGGCCGGGGGGGGGGGGACAAAGGCAAAAAAAAGGCAAAGGAAGATGAATCAGAGAAAGAGAGATCAAGACCATACAAAAGCGGACCTCGGCAGGGGGAGGAGGAGAGGTAATAGGGGAGGGTAATTTGCTTCTACAAATCGCGCGGAATCGACATGGTGGTGGCTGCGGCCGTTTCACTAGGGCCCAATTCATTACAGGACCGCTTGATACTAGTAGTGGTATAGGGGTCCGTCAGAGAACCGTTTGAAAGCTGAAATGGGTAAGAACGATGGTCAATGCTCTATCTACCCGCTTGATAGTCATGTGGAGTGAGAGGTTCTTTGGGCTGTTCTGGAAAATAAAAGAAAAGCTCTGTAAAAGGAGGTATCATAACCAAATTCTTCTGTACAAGCAATCTTTAGTAAGGAAGGCATGTTAGGTCTGGTTAAAAGATGACTAAAAAATTCACAAGTTTTACAGACCGTAGCAGTTACCATCGTGGTTCCAGTTTATAACCGCACCAAATTGCAATTATGAGGTCTGTCGAAGCATATTACAAAAGCTTGGAAATCCGCTGAAGGCAAAGCGACCTTAGTTATACTTCAAAAATAGACTAAAGGTTATCTTTCACTTCGAATGTGCAACTGGGACTATTGAAGCGCCAGTAGGGTCTCATGTTTAATTTCTCCCTGTCTTCAGAACACCTAGCCCCTGAAATGGCATGCTTTATGGCCGTCTTGGGGGGACTAGTTTGCAATTACAATAGAGGAAAGGAAAATTACCTCTTTAGTCTGTCGTCTAGGTGGAAGCATGGGACACGCACATCTCTCAACTCTACTCTACCTTCAGCAGTAATGCGACGCACATGAAGAAGAGGGAAATAAGAGTAGGGTTTCGGTACAGCCAAAGATATGAAAGGAGTGGTCACTTCGGGGTCCGAAGAAATGCACACGCACAACAAAATGCTCACAGAGAGGAGAAATGAAAGAATGAGGTGTGGGGGGGATTGGATGTTGGCATGATCAAAGCGTCTCACCCAACACAGTGAACTTAGCAGTTGACCCGGATTCTAGGCGATCAACACGCCCTGAATTGTGGATGGCGGGCGGATTTCGTCTGCTCAAGGAAAGAAAACACTGAGAGAGTTATTTTGGAATCTACCGAAATAAACGAAACCTCGGTGAACAATAAGGTAGTCAACGAAAACCGTTCAGTATGGTTTTAAAGTAGTATAAAATCACAGAAGCAAAAGATTTGTGATTTTGGCCTCATTCAAAAGGTTCCTTTTCCTTCTGTGATTCAGGAGTGACCTGACCTCGACAGCAGGAAGGCCCAAAATCTTCATCTCTATGTATTCACCGAGAAAATGAATCTATTTATAGGAACTGAAAAGGCGGGAGGAGAAAGGGGAGGAGGAGGTGATGTATAATTCCAGGTAGAAAATTAGTATAACGAAATGTTGTCCAAAATCCACGAACTTGGAGAGCACAGGATGAAGCGAATCCACGCCAGCTGATGGGCAGGAATGTTGTCCTGAGGCAAGAGTACCGTTGGAACAAAGCACCGAAGCGCCACCTTTGGTCTTCGTTTGGGGCAAGAAGGTGACATCTGGTACAACAACCCTCTGTTATGATGGTAATACGATATACGGGACTATTATCCCTGGCCTGCTACCAAACATAAGCTTAAACAGTCATAGAAAAGGTGGGGACTTTTAAAGGAGGGGGCAGGGAAGGCGGCTTGACACCTAGTGTCACTCAACAAGAAGTTAAGGGGATTGTGACACCCAGGTAATTTTCTTGTGACCAGGCTTGCTTGCAACTGAAAGTCAGACCCATTCCCTGGCTACATCCTTCAGTCAGAAAAGTGGAATAGAGCCTAGGAGAGCCCAGAGACCAAGAAATGACCCCGCTGAATTAAAAGTCCGATGCCATTCTACAGTACGCTCTTCATGTAAGGAAACACAGGCGATTCCGTGGAAGTACTGGAAAACACGTCCTAAGTATTCCAGTAAGGAAAATTGTACATAGGGGGTGAAAACCAGATTGCACAGCATGTAGTGATTGACAGCGATGCCAGTAGCTACACGTATAATCGCCACCTAATGAAAATAAGATTTTTTGCAAAGCATTATACTTTCTCAAAAGCTACAATTACAGGAAAAATTATGGTAATTAAGTTAAAATAAATTGGAATTTTTACAATAAAAGGTGGTTTATGACCTCGCCTAAAGTGGAATCCACTCAAATTTTATTAAGACTGCGCAAATATGAAGCACTTGGTTTGAAACTTGTTGAATCTGCGTTTCAGTGGAGAGGTATGAGGCCTATAGTAAGAAAATCCACTTTAATGACTCCTCAACTGGTTTGTGAACGAGCAAGGAACTTGATTCCTTCCCAAAAGGTTTGTAAGCAAAGACAAATTGATGGAGGAAAAGATGACGGAAATCTCTCCAGTATCAAACTAGGGAGGAATTTACCACCTAATTTCATTTGATGTTGCTTGAGGTCAGGATTTAAATAGTTCGCCAGTTTGATAAAAAAGGGCTATTGTAACCTTCCAAGTCTATGTGGTGGAAATTCGAAGGGGCGCGGGGGGAGGGAAACGGATATTCCATGGCACAACCATCTTCTCATCATCCAAGAAAGTTGCCTACATTTTGAAATCACATTCATGCAATAATTTGCTGTAATTTGTAGGGACCTAAAGAGTCCTAGAAGGTACTGCTTCATCCTCCAGCCTTTTGTGGGACTAGATGGTCAGACTGTTGGGAAGGCAAGTTAACGCAGAAACGGAGGTGGCTAGAGCTAGAATTTGGCTTCTAGATGTAAATTAGGCTTCAAAAGTGGAAAATAACAAGTTTGCATCTTGTCAGGGCAAGGATTACGCATTGTAGTTAGCAAGGAGAGATCAAAATAAACAACTGAAGAAAGAAATGCTTACAATGCATGCTTTTAAACTTTAGTCAAGCCGCCACTGGAAAGTTGCGCCTACGTCAACGTCAAATCCCATTCTTCTTCAAAGCTATCGGCGAAATCCAAAAGGATTTTACAAAGCTCTTTGAAATGTGGTACGAAGAAGTCTGCAGTCACCTTTGCCAAAGGGGAATTAGGCCCTTCCTGCGTAAACAAGATCATGAAATGCTTTTTTCACCGCAATGAAGCTGTTCTCATAACTCTACTAATTAAGACTGGATGTTTTCGCCTGGTTAAGAATCACAATTACCTTGTGCAATGGGGTCTGTCAAAAGAAAAAAAATGCGGTTCAATTTAGGGCGTTTCGCTGACAACTTTGACTTCTCTCTCTCAAAACCCCTACTATGAGAGCATGAAACCTTTAATTACTACAAATGAGTGAACTTAAGACGATACAAACACGAGGCTGTCAGTGGTGCCAGCCCTGGCAGCCTATTCTGAGTGTGTGGTATTACCTCCAGACCCAAATTCTTACTCGAATAATTAGCCTTCCCTTGTCCTCTGAACCGGTTAACGCAATCTTCAGGCGGCTAGCAATCCAGTCATTCACTATATCTACTGTTAACAATTTCTCTCCCTTTCGTATTCACAAGTACCAACATTGGTGCCAAAGTTCTTTCCCATCTCGGTTTGATCAGTTCTTGGCAATGCTACCATAGTCTACATAGGCGACAAGGCCACTTCAATCAATCCAATCAACATTTGATTAGCTTTACCTCTTGATAATCTGCTTTGCACATCTTACTCAGCGTCTCAGCATCTGTCACGTCGGAACACGAATTCGTGCATCTCATCATTGCTATTAATTCTCTTGTTTCGGCAATATCAAGATGCCTACCCCAGAGGAGCAAGCTATTAGCCAGGACAAAAAAAGGAGGTAGGAGACCTTGTCGGGACAATATCTGACACTAACCAGATAAGCACCTCATCCGGATCCCACCCAGTACTTATAATTAGTGCGTGGATTCGAATGAAGCATTAACCCCAATCACACTCATGTATGAATTAGCTCCACTGATGAGCTGGATCAATTTTCAATGAGATTAGAATTTTAAAGATCGTATTGAAATTGGAGGTTCTAACTTCGGAGAGCACTTAAATTTAAGCCAAGGTAAGTGTGGCAATGTAGGCTCCAGACAATCTGGAATGCTTTCGGCAAAATTGAAACCTCAGAATTTACATGCCCTACCTCCTTTTTGTTAGACAAAATCTGAGAATTTGGTTAAGGTTCTCGGCAGTTTTAGGAGAGAGGTAGTTAAACCCCGTCCTTCGCTTTATCCACACAGACGCCTATTCGTCTACAAGGGGCTTAAGAGATGTCTGAAGTTGCATGATACCTGCTACATCTAAAGTCTCGTGAGTTGTAAAATTTCCGTGACAAAAATTAACAATTGGCCAAAAATGGTTGTAAAGGTGGACGTTAACGCCACTGATTTTGGGGGGGCAGGGCAACACTTTGAGGTCGTCTAAATGCTGCACTAGGTGACCGAAAAGTTTAGCGAGATTTTTGGTGTAGCTCGCTAATCATGAACCTTTGGAAATATGCAAGGGTTCGTAAAACAGGTTAGTTTATCTGCACTGCCGAGCACGAGCATATGTTTGTCCATTGTCACACTTGACTGTGCTCCCAAACACATTCCTCCTACTTTGAGCGTCACTTCACCAAAACGACAGTTAAAACTGCTGATGGATGTAATTCAAGGTGATCTGGGTTATAGCTCCGACACCAAATCGGCCGTAGAATGACAGAAACCAATTCTACTCAAATTTGTTCTACGACATTTAAGCACAGAATGTGGAGGAGGTGATGCATAATTCAAAGTAGGAAATAGCTATAGGGAAATCTGCTCCATAATCCATGCTTCCAGGGAGCATAGAGTAAAGCGATTCCACGTCAGGACAAGATTGTTGCCTTAGGACACGATTACTGTGCAAGAACAAATCACCGAAAGACCATCTTTGGTTCTTCATCTGAGGCAAGCAGGTGAAATCTCGTACCACAAACTTATGTGGTAGTGGTGAATCGGTAAACGGGAATAATGTCTCTGACCCATTACCAGTCATAAGCCTAAGCCAAAAAGCAGGTCCCCATTTAAAACAGTCAGCGAAACTGTGGAATGTGAAGGTAATGAGATCGTCTACTTATGAGCTTTAATTGCTTTTAGTAAAAAGTGGCTGAATACAGCGGAGCTAAGAAAAGGTGGGACACTTTGCCCCTTGCACCAACAAAGCGGAAGTGGAGAAGGTTGCAACAGTCGTCGAATTTACTTTAATTGCAACAAAAGGTCAGATCCATTCCATCTTGACAACAAAAGGTTATAAAATAGGCATTCGCACTGAAGGCTTAGACACTTTAAGGTCTCCTAAGTATTGCAC